CAATTTCCAGAACCTGGAGAAGAAGTCCATCTCTGGGGAGAGGATCACCAGGAGCTGTGACCTTCAACCTATCGGGAGAGAGCCAAGGAACCTGAGCGATATCCCTCTACCCCATTGAGCTCCTGCCGGCGTCCCCCAGCACCCCAAGTATGAGGGAAGCACTGGGGCTGTTCGTACCAGTCAGTCGTCCTCCAAGGCCCAGAGCAGAGTCGAGAAGCATGGCGAGTGAATCTGACTGGCGGGGAAATAAAACAGAGCCAGCTCATGCGTGTACCCAGAAAGAAGAGCCATGGGCAGCAAAGAGGAAACCTGGCATTGCCTGGGTGCTTCCTTGGTGCCAAGCTCCAGGTGTGGTGCCCTCTCACTTCCAGAAACAGACCCACGAGTATCCAGAAAAGGAAACTACGGTTCAAAGCCACTTACCTCGGCTTCACACAGCTCCGATGCAGTCCGGCGAGAGTAGAAACAAACACAGACCTGTGTGCTCTTCAGCGGGCTCCTCTTTCAGCCACGGATCACTTAGGGACGACCAGCAGTCCTGGAGGGAGAGGAGACCAGCGCTAAAGCAGTTGCAAACACCAGGTAATTGAGGACAGTAAGGCTTCTGTCTCGGGAGCTAGACTCGAGTCTGTGAGACAGCAGTCTTCAGGCTGCCTCCATGTGCTCTGCCCACTGCACAGAGCAGCAAACTCTAGCTGCTTGTACTCGGCTTCCCTCCCTCAGCTCCCTCTCTCTTCTAGAAACTTCTGGCTATAAAGTTTCTCCATTCCAGAGGTTCGGAAGCAGCTCTACTCTCCGACACCCAGGCCAGCTTAAGTCTACCAAGAAGATGCGAAGAGGGAATTCAGTGTGCACACAAATGGTGGATTTCAGGAAATGTCTAGACAGGACAAAGGGAGGGAGGCCGGTGGCGACCTGACACCTGTGGTAGGAGAGGAGGGAGGAGGAGGACTGTGCCGGAAGGGCCTCCCAGAGCAGCGCTGGCCCCATTTCAGCCAAGCTGGCAGCACATGAGAGGATCCCCAATCGGACATCCAGGGTCGGGTCCCACAGCACAGGCAGACATGGATGGGCAGGGCAAGTGTGACCATGCCCTCTACCATCCTCACAGCAGGGCCTCTGGGAGGGAGACATGAGGGACCCACAAACACAGCCCTCGGGAGCCCTTCCCCCAAGCCTCTCTCCACAGACTCTGTGAACTCCGAGCGCCTCCCAGCCCACACCATGCACACACTTCAGGACTCCCTTTCTCCCTTAAATATCTTCCCCTTGATTCCTTCTACAGGATCCTTGCCAATCTTGGTCCATCCAGATCCAACAGCAATCATCTGAGTCACGTAACTGAACATTTATCAATCAAACCACATGATAGTTGATGCTGTTGAAGAGCACAGCTTCCTGAGGGCCCAAGCCAAGTCTTTCTTGGAATAACCCCTGTGTCCTCCACAAACTCTAACAGAGAACTGAACTCACAATCCATGTTCAGTAAAGACAGGTGGCCCCCTGGTTCGGGTTCAGTTCCTTTCTCAGTTGCATATCACCCCCAAACCCTTTAGCGCATGTTTACCTTGGAGTGCTGGTTTTCTCTAGGGGAAGAATAATTACCACTCAGGATTTTCTCAATTACTTATCAAGCATTTAGCTATAGGATAATAAACATGATTTGAGATTGAAAGAATTGACCATTCTTAGAAGACGCCAGGGTGCTTCACAAATGAGGATCATTATTCAGAATTTTGATAAAGTATTTGGGGGCAAAAAAAGAATACTTACCACAATCGAGCTGGTCTGAAAAACGATTGGGAAATATTATAAATGGAGACATGGAAGGCTCCTCAGGTACAGTAACAGAGTGGTAATTGCGGTAAAATGAAAAGCTATTCTGAGAAGTAAAGCATTAAACTACGAGGATAAGTAAACACATGTTGAGGCAACGTCATGGAAATCTTTATTAAGCAAAAATACCAAAATGCGAAGACCTAAAGGGTAGAAGCATGAAGAAACAATAGCTTCACCTTTTGATCGTTTTATACTTATGGAACCAGCTAGATTTATGTAAGTGTTCTTTTTTCCAAATACTTGATCAAGTCCAACTACTTTCTTCCTGGAACTTTTATTGTGCTGACTTTGGGTACCCCTGATTTATTCTTTATACGTTTCTTTTTAAAATGTTTCAACTTTCTGTTAATTTTCGAAGGATCTGGCTGGCTGCTAACCGCAAGGCCAGGCACGGAGCCCTCACCACTGCAGGTGGGCCTGGAAAACGGTGTGTCCACTGGGGAAAAGAGCATGATGCTTCCTCTCAAATCTGAAACTAGAAATATTATACAACCCAGCAACCCCTCCACTTAGAGATCTCAGAGCTACAAGAAGAATCCATCTGTGTACACCCTGTCCCTTCTAGCCCTGTTCACAAGAGCAAAACTATGAACAATCTAAATGCCTGTCAATGGAATAATGGATAAACACACTTTGGAACAAACAAATAGAATATGATGCAGTGGCAAAGAGTAATGATGAATCTACAAAATACTTCATTACATAAAAAAAACAAGAGCACTGTATGCTGAGTGAAAATGGTCGATTACAGAGCAAATATTGTAAATATTGAAGAAAAGATGCTTTTCATGCTAAAAGAAACACTCGTTGATGGCTATCATTCTTTGATATGAGTGTAAGAGAGGGCGGATTACTGGCTAGAGGTGGATACTTGGGTGACGGGGAAGGCAATATACAATAAAAGGAAAGTCAACAGGAAACAATGGGAGAAGGGCTTAAGACTTCTTGATCAACAAGCACACTGTTTTGGGTTTATTGGTCAATATCTTTTGTCTTTCTAAATATATCCATGGTGGTTTTCTCCAAGTTTTCCTCTTTTCACTGCATTACTTCTGATGAAGCCTCTGGTGAAGACCTTCTGATCCTAACAGGATAGCTCAGTTGTCAGCCAGTGAGCATTGTAAAGGAAGTTATGACAGACAGAGTTAGGTCAGAATGTAATATCTTATCATTTGATCTCCCTTTGGACCCATTTAAAGTTGTTTCAGTTTGAAAAAGAAAGAGGAAAGAGGAAATACACCTGGATTCAGCCCCTAGTGAAGGTCTTCTGACCAGGGACCAGGGATGTGAGCAGCCTTGCTGTCACGCAGAGAGCAACGGAAAGTGGATGGTTACAGATGCCGTTAGGTTAAATTTTAGGTTAAAATTCAGCATGCTATCACTTGATCTCCCTGACGAGCTGTTTAAATTGTTCTAGTTTGTAATATTTTCTGCTTTCTTTTCGAATGAAGTTTGTATCTATTTTACTTCGTTATTCTTGTTAGCTGTTTTTAATGGTTTTCCATAGATGAAACCCAGGATAGGTAAATCTATAGAGACAGTAACTGGATTAATGGTTCCTTGAGGGCATGGTGGGGAAGATTGGGGG